CCCCCCCCCCCCCGAGTTTCTAACTCAGTGGGTCTAGACTGGGGCCTGAGCTCTGCATTTCTAACAGGTTCCCAGGTAGTGCTGAGGTTGCTTGTCCTCAGACCATGCTCTGAGGACTGCTGCTCTAAATATTTCCATCTGTTTCTTCCCATCTCACTAGTGTTGCTCTACTCAGGCTCCCATCCCCTCTTTTGCCTGGAATGTTGCATTAAGTCTCCTACTTATCTTTCTTCCTCTACTTCAGTGCTTGTCAGATGCCTTCCCTTCCTCTAGTTTAGAGCTTCTTGGATACATTCTTCAGTAGATGCTTGAGGGATCCATCCAAAATGCAGGCCACTTACCCTGCTTAAAAGCTTCAGTGGCTTCTTATTGCCTGAAACAGTTGTTTCTACGCTCAAATTTCTGACTAACACAAAAGTTCAGATTTTTGGAGATTAACATAGAGTTGCCAAATTTTTATTTTGCTTAGTAAAATCAATAAGAAACAAAAACAAAAACTCAAACAAGCTATTATTTACCACCTTCATTTTGTAAAAATTACTTTTTAACAACAAAGTATGAAGAACATGATCTCAGAAAAAAAATAATAGGACTTTAAATTGAATATATTTACTTTCATGTGGCCTTTATTTTTTCTCATTTTCGCCCCAAATGAATGAAATCTTTGTCCTAGAGGACCAGTATAAGCTCACCACTACCCTGCAGGACAAAGTGCAAACTTTTCAATGTATCAAATCAGGCCCTCAGTTACTTCCTCTCTTCCATTGCTTGCTTGTCAATACTGAACTGCCTGGGATGGATTCCCCTCCTGAGGTATTTCTCACCTCTACGCCTTTTCTATTTCCAAGACCAAGCTTGTGCCCATATCCTTGGTCTCCAGTGTTCTACGCTGGTTTCTCCTTTCTGTGTGAGGCCTCCTTTCAACAGGAGGTGTAGGTTCTGTGCACCAGCTGCAGTGATGAAGCTTCACTAGCTGGGCAAGGCTCTTAGTGCCGAGTCCCCATCCTGGCTCAGAAGGCTAGGATTTTTCTTAACCCCCTTTTTAGAATTGACTATTGCTTCTCTTTTGGTCCCTGGGTTTAATTCATATTTAATTCATATTTGTTTTATTTTCTTGAAGTTATTACTCGTCTATAGAGGCCGTATTTATGAACTCACTAAACAGTTTCATGTTCTCTTTTGTGCTTTGTAGTTCTTTGTAGAAACCTATTTAGTAGGTTTCTTTTGTTTGTTTGTTTTGTTAGTATTTCAGGTTTTTACCTCTGTTAGTTTGATTAAACAATACATTGCTTTTTATTCCACAATCCCAATCTCAAAATCATTCGGTAGTATTCAACTGAAATGGAATTTTCATAAGCTTTGATAGGTATAGGAAGAAAGACCTTTTTCTGTTGACAGCCACAGTTTGAACATAAATGGCTGTCAGGATTAAATAACCTTGCTAGAGATCTTTCAGTTGGTAGAAATTTTCCAGAGATCGAATGAAATGTGGCACTTACCTATTTTCCAGGGAGGAATGTGAGAAAGAAGAGAGACTTTGATAATTAGCCACCACTTGGAAAGGATGTGACCTCTGAAGCCTTCCTACTTCTAGGACATTAGTCACCCTAAACTGTGAGCCCCCACCCTCAGCACTGAGCAGAGTAGCCTGTCATAGCACTTAGTATATCTATCACAAGCTTGTCTGTAGGTCTCACTACCACTCTAGACTGTGAGTGGGCCTTGTTCACATTAGAGAGCTAACTTCCTGGAACATAGTAGATGTTTGGTAAATGTTTGTTGATTGAATCATGCCAGTTGATTTGATTTTGGGTTTTCTGTATTGGTTCAAGTTAGGATTTACATTAGTTTAAAACTATTTGTTAAAGTCAGATAATGAGTAAAGCACCACATTGAAAATCTGTAGTCAAAAGAACTGTATGTCACACAAAAAATATAAGGCATATTCTCCTCAGAGAATTTATAATTTAATGGTGTATGCCTAGGAATCAAGAAAATTTAAGAAAAATAAAAGCAGATGCTGAAAGTCTTCTCTGAGTTGTAGTTAAACATAAATTTGTAGCTTGTTTTGTAGCAATGCTTGCTGGCCTGGGGACGTGAGTAGAGAAAGCCAATGGTGGAGGTGATTCAGGGATGTGGGCCAGTCACTGAATGGGGAGAGTGAGGCGGAATAGCCACACTACAGTAGAGCCCTGGGAAGGATGGGGCTTCATGGGTGGTTGTGGAATTAGAAGAGTTTTACTAAAAGAACAGAGTTCTAAAGACACACTCACTTGGGATTTTAGTAGATTCATTTCAAACACCTCAAGCAGTCGAAAGAAATATTTTAAAGTAGTATGAATAAGGCTCCCTTTGGAGATGGGTTTTCAGTATTTTAGACATTTCTAACTTAATGAAATACTTGCATTTTGAGCAGAAATGTAATTTTATCTTCTTTGACTAGCTTAATAAAATTATATCTGTCTTTTCATTTAGTAATTTTCAGGTTGGTAGCACCAACAGAAGCATCACTAGAATGGGATATTCTTGAAGTTAAGCGCCTCCTTGATCACCAGGATAATATTCTCTCTTTGGCTAATGTCAACGGTAAGCTCCTTGTGTACGTGTTTATATTATGTAAAATTTTGTACTTATTAACATAACCCATTACGAGCTTTAGTCTTGTTCTGTTCTAGGATTTCTAGAATTATCTTCATTAAAATAATACTTTTGATTAGTAGGGATTATACTGTGGAATTCAAGGCAATGGAACTGACCAAGTTTTATAGGTTGGTAGGATACAATTTAGGCACAAGGGAAACGGTAAGACAGAGAGAAGAGATGGAGGGAGCATCATAATCTCAGGCTCTGTGGGACAGTTGTCATAGGCTGTAAGTACTAAGGCTTAGTAGCATTTTGGCGTTTTTGCCAATTGGTTCTGGCTAGCTCCTCTTTTGTAGACCACACAGTATGATATTATATCGCAAGTTACACACTTACAGTTGAATAAGCAGGATTTAAGGCAATTGCTTTCATGATTGAAGACTCTCAAAAATTGCACCAAACTAAGGCAAAGGTCTGCAGAAAATGGGTTGTATCTGCCCATCCTCATGGTTGTGAGTTTTGACTTGCCAGACATCCTGTTTAGTGTCATAATGACTTTAATGAGTATCTCCGGTGAGCCCAGTCTAACATCAGATGGCAGGGTAACAAACCCTGGGATTTACCTAGTTCACTTTTTTTTTTTTAATCCTCACCTGAGGATATTTTTTCCATTGCTTTACAGAGAGAGTGGAAGGGGGCGGGGGAGAGAGAGAGAAGCATTGATGTCAAAGAGACACATAGATTGGTTGCCTCCCACACACGCCCTCTACTGGGGCCCGGGATCAAGCCTGCAACGGAGGTACATGCCCTTGGCCGGAATCAAACCTGGGACCCTTCAGTCCGCGGGCCGATGATCTAACCACTGAGACAAGTGGTTAAACTGTTATAAACTTCTCTCCAGAAGAAGCTAGAACTNGATGATCTAACCATTGAGACAAGTGGTTAAACTGTTATAAACTTCTCTCCAGAAGAAGCTAGAACTAGTTCACTTTCAAATAAAGTGACATCTTATATCATCAGAGTTGTTCTGGGTGATCTGTGTTCTGAGGTCAGACGAGAGGCCTCCTGGGTGGCTTTACTTTGATAGCCTGGAGGAGACTAAGAGGGTCCTGTAAGGATGCCATGGATGTGATACAGTGGGCGGACTGGACTGTACCCTCTGACCTGAGACGTGGATCGGCTCTTTTTGAGCAGTACTTTGCATAAACATGCGACAAGGGGAAGGGCACGGACAGCACTAAGTGTAGTCTCCATTTGTATGCCATTCAGTCACATTTTCCGGTACATCAGTGAGAATGTCCCTCCCACTTCCACAATCCTCCCTAACAGCCATCTTCTTGTACAACCCGCTCCAAGTCATTCTAAGGACCAGATTTGTCTACGGTGATAGAAGTAGCAGTGTTGGGAGCACTCCTTTATTTCTCTCTGGGGGCTCTCTTCCCTCTAGCCATGGATCGCAGCACAAAAGACAAGTTCTTATTTGGAAGACCCTCTGGCACTGAGCCATAAGCTCCAAGGCCTCAGTGCTGCTGGAAAAGGCACAGCTGTGTTCTGACCCACTACACTGGTCACGCCTAGCTATCTCGTTTTAGTGGTGAAGCATTGGTACCATTGGCCCAGCATGGCTCTTAATAAAGGTTATGCAATGTTACTGAGGTAGTCCCGACTTCAAGGCACTTCTTTTGCTGTGTGATGTGTAGAGAAGTTTATGACAGTTTAACCAAGAAAGCTATCTTCAAGTATTTCTCTGCCAACTTCTTGGAGGAAAATGGAAAATGGAAGCAAAAAAATTAATGACATGACAGAAAAGCCCCAGTACCTTTTACTTTCTAAACTCTATAAAATTATACTACAGATAATAAGGATGTATAGGAATGATATACAGATGAGTGGTCTGGTAAAATTTGAACATGATATTTTGACAGTCTGATCTTGTATGTAGGCATCTGCCTTGCTGCAGATTTTGGCAGTTTTGAAATGATTATGTTGTATAGTTAGTTCTCAGCTCCACTCTCTGCGTCTTTGTCCCACCAATTCCAATGAAAGGTGTTGCCAGTAACTGGGTTTGTAACTCAGAGGGAAAGTGCATTTTCAGTGAGGTGGCCCAGGGCAACCTTAGAATGGGAGACAGAACTCCCACAATTATGAATGAGGAATACCTGGTTTGCCACACAGATCTGAGTGCCGGGGCAGAAGGTTTTCTAAGACAGACATGCTAGATAACCTTGCTTCTCACTTCTGGCAAAAGGCTCTTGGTGCTTCCTTCGTTATTTCATTGCTCTTCTTGTTTTGTGCTGACAACATGGTGTGGTAATCAAAAAGGATTAGTACTTGTGATGGATAGGTAGACAGATGCCAGGTGAGGTTTTCATGCTGACTCCTGAAAGTCCATACACATATAATACATCATCATTGAGGTTGTTAGGTATGAAACATTTTGAATGATCTGTTTGGGAATATAAGTAATTTACACAGCAATAAACTGCATCGACTTAGGTGAATGCCAGTAAATTGGTTTTTAGTGAAAAATTCCAACTGGGCAGGGATACTTTTATCTGCTGCATAGATGGATCACAGACACTTGAAGGATTAAGTCAGAGCAGGTAACTTTGTGGTCTCAGGAGGTTACATTAACTCAGTTAAGACACATGCAGAGTTAGAGTCAGGAACCTTCCCTCCTTAACCTCTCTAGTTCTTTCATACAACTAAAGAAATTAAGGTGTGAAGATTCCTGACTCTAACTGCATGTTTGCAGAGCTGGAGTCAGATGCTTGACTGAAATTGGAGAGGGGGGAAGGGATGTAAAAGGTGGCCACGGAAAGGTTAGTGCTCCGTTAACTTTGCCACTGTTAAAATTAGAAGCCTATTTCCACAAATGAGAGATGAGCTTAGAGCAAACTCTATAGAGCCTGCTAATCAACTATAGAAAGTGGACTTGGAACCAAGACAAATAATATTTACGTGTATGATTGCTGGTAATTCTTCATTTCTAAGAGATTATTCATCTAGTTACAGAGATTTCTGTCCTGCTGGTTTACTTGAGAAGTAGAATAATTAAATCATAATTACTCATCTATGTATTCCTAATTTACAAGTAACTGGATGTTTTAATACCATTACTATGGAATATTAACAGGGGCTCAAAATAATACTGGGACTAAAAAATAACATTTGATGTTTTTTTAAAATGGCTAAATGTTTATTATTTAATTTGATTTTTATAATCATCCTCATTTAATGCATGAGAAATCCAAGCTAGAGAAAGGTTAAATGACTTTCTAAAGACCAGATGGCAGAGCCAAAATTAGAGGTTGGCTTTCTAGAGTCATGCTGCATTGTTCTATTCTACCTCACCCTGAATATGTAAAAATTAAAGTAAATTATATTCTTCATGATAAGTTTTAGTCTCAGCAGTTGAACATTTTCTGTTAAATATATAATTTGTAAAGTGTCTTAGTTGGCCCACTAATTTCATTTTATTTAAAGGATTTAAAAACTTGTTATTGTACAAGTAATACATAGTCATAGAAAAATGAGAAAATAGTATGAAATATTAAAAAATGTAAAAATTAAAATTAAAATCCTCCCACTATACAGTATTAAGCACTGTCCATATACTTCTAGGTGTTTTTCTGGGCATATGTATGTATATACACATGGTTTGCTCTTTTGTAACAGTATATCATGAATATATTTCCATATCAATCAATATAAAGATACTTAACAACTTAATTTTTAATGACAACATTAGTATTTCATTTTGTGGATGTTTTTAATTCAATCCCCAATTGTATGTTTAGGTTATCTTCAGATTTTTAATATTATGAATAACAACCCTGTTACATGTCTTTTATGTATGCTTTCCTCTGGATAAATTCCTAGAAGTGGACTTGTTGAATCAATGGGTTTACATTTTTTTAAAGGTTTTGATGTGTATTTCCAAATTTGAAGGGATCATACCACTTTATACTGGGACATTAGTAGTGTGTGAGTGGGCTGATTCCCTTTGCTTTTGCTAACATTTGGATATTTTCCTGTTTTATAATTTTTCCCAATTTGCAAGTCAATAAGTAGTATCTCATTGCTTTTAGATTTTTTTGATTATTAAGTTGAACATCTTTTCACAGGTTTATTGACCGTTTATATTTCTTGTTTTGCCTGTTAGGTCTTTTGCCCATTTTTTCTGCTGCAGTATTCATCTTGTTCTTAATGACTTCCAAGAACTCGTTATGTATCAAGTATAATAAATCTATTTATTTGTCCCTGGTCAGGGCTAGTATGGGAGGCAACCAATCAGTGTTTCTCTCTCCCCTCTTTCTCTCTCTCTAAAAATATCAATTAAAAAACATATTCTCAGTTGAAGATTAAAAAAAAACAAAAAACCCTCCTATTTTGATATCTAAGTTGCAAATCTTCCCCATCTTTTTGTCATTTAATTGCATGATTTTTTTTGCTAAGGAGATATTAACTCAGATACCTTTCTCTAATCCCCACCCTACCTCCTTTAGAGCCTCTTAGTACTCTATATTCATAAAAAATATTTACCTTTATTTTCTTCAACCCTTTAAATATCTTTAATGTTTTAATCTCTTTGAAACTTATTTTGGTGAGCAATAATAGAAAAATATATATCTATAGGAGATATACATATATATATACACACACATATCTGCCCCAAGTTCTTGGCACAAAGCTCCTAAAAACCCTTATAATTTCCTAAGTGATAAGAGCACAAGAAGCATCTTTTGGTCTAATATTTGCTCTAATATTTCCTGACATAGGGTACTAAATCTCTTGGAATTTCCTGGGTGATAGCAGTATCTTTTCTTCTAATGAGGCTACTCTTTCTTAGGCTCCTGGATGGGTCTGGTTACCAGAAAGACCAAACCATGATTAGAAGCTTGGAATTTTCAGCCCTATCCTGTCTTCAGTCAGGGGAGAGGGGCTGGAAATGGAACTAATAATTGATCTTGTCTACATGATGAAACTTCCATAGAAATCCCAAAAGTGGGATTCAGAGATCTTCCAGGTTGCTGAACCTGTGGAGGTGCTGGGAGAGTGTCATGGGAGCCCCATAGCCCTTCCCACATACCTTGCCCTGTGCATCTTCTCCATCTGGAGGTGCATATGTATCCTTTATCATATTCTTTATAACACACTGGTAAGCATTAAGTACACTGCTTTCCTGAATTCTGTGAGCTGCGCTGGCAAGTTAATTGAACTAGGGTTGTGAGAATTATAGCTGATCAGAAGCATAGGTAACAACTTGGACTTGCTATTGGCATCTGAAGTGGGGGGCAGTCTTGTGGGACTGAGCCCTTAACCTGAGACATCTGATGCTGTCTCCAGGTAGAGAGTGTCAGAACTATGTTAAATTGTAGGTCACCTAAGCTCTTGTCACAGAATTTCTTGGTGTGGGGAAAACCCACACATCGGGTGTCAGAAGTGTGAGTGTGGTAGTGTGTGAAAGCAAAAGAGACACACAGAAAAAGTATCGGTTTGCTAAATAGTATATGATCCAAGGTAAGGTTCTTTTATTTTTATTTCCCAAATAATTAACCAAATATTCCAGCATGAGGTATTTCTTTGCTCACTAATTGAAATGCAGTCATTATCACAGATTAAATAAGTAAACTTGAGTCTGTTTCTGGTCTTTCTGCTCTGTTACATTAATCTTTCTGTTTGGCTTATCTAGGTACCTCACTGTTCTTGTTAGTGTGGTTTTATAGAGCATTACTACTAGGCAGTCCATTTGTTTTTACCTGTAGGTAAAATGATCAATAATGAGACATATATGAATTCTGTCTAGATTTGAGTTTCGTAACTGGCTCCCATGTTGGAGAGCTGATCATCTGGGACATCCTGGACTGGACCATGCAGGCCTGTGAACGCAACTTCTGGGACCCATCTCCACAGCTGGACACTCAGCAAGAAATAAAACTCTGTCAAAAACCAAATGACATTTCTATTCATCATTTCACATGGGATGAAGAGGTAAAAAAAAAAAAAAAAGAAAATATAAAGTTTTTAAGTAACAATTTAAAATATTTAAATTGTTTTAAGAAACACTTTGGGAAAAGAGTCCTTTTGAAGATTCTGTTGTATTTCCTAGAGAGGTAAAGGAAGTAAAAAAATGGAAGAGTTTTGTTCTTTTAGTCTACTAGCATCCTGGGCAAGATGAGTGTGTGATTTCAGTCCTTCAGCCCTTGGCAGTGATGCTCTTGAAGTACTTTACATTGTCTTTGCAGTAAGAGATTAATAACAATGGATTAATGAATTCTGGCTCAGAAAATATATTTAAAGAGGAGTTTATATTTCTTATGACTACATTTTTAAATGTAGTCATAAGAAATTTTTAAGAGTTGTAATCTTAGAGGAGGGGAGTTGGGGGAAGCTTTTATTTCACTTTATTTCGTGCCTTTCTATACTGTTTAAATTTTCTAATCATATGCATGTTATTATTTTTATTAAAGTACTGTAGCATAGGTTTCTTTCTCTAGCTGTTACATTTCAGAGAGGAAGAAAGTGATGCTAAGGGGTGTTGTATACAGAGCTTTCTCTGCATTATCAGTGTGTCCTTTTACCTTCTAAATGCTGAGCTTTCCTTTGTGATTTGAAAGTTTTGGACTTCAGAGGGCACCACAGTAATTGGGGCTGAAGGCTGGGAATAGGGGAAGGTAACAATGGCTTTCTGATGTCACACCAGGGCTGGAAATCTATTACACTAGGTAGTGGTAAGCACTAGTTTTATGCCCATTTCTGAATTTTCCCCCCAGAATGTATTTGCAGCAGTTGGAAGGGGTTTATACGTGTATAACCTTCAAATGAAGCGTGTGATTGCCTGCCAGAAAACTGCACACGACTCCAGTGTCCTGCACATTGCCAGGCTTCCAAACAGGTACAAGTTCCCATCTGCTCTGCAACAGATGAAAGAAATTCAGTTCCTAGCACTACCAGTGTAATTTCTCAAGGGGCAAGTGCCTGGCTTCATGGCTTGACCTGCTATATTCTTCTGGAAATGGAGAATGCCACGAAGCTGTCTCTGATCAAAGAGTTTGTGGCCGTATATTACAAATTTACAAGCAGCATGGTTCAAATGAATTATATTGAATTTCATTATAAGAGGAGGTACTTTAAAATATGGCATTTATTTTAAAAGGTAAAAGACTTTTAGGCACTTACTCTGTGCTAATTTTTCTTTTTATATTTTCCATAAGCTCATCTTTTTGTTGTTTATAGCCAGAATCAAATGGAACTGTCCTGTTGTCGAAGGTTACCAAGGGAGGACTTTCCTCTCAGGGTACATTTGGCTGCTGAATTTTTAGGGAGGAAATTATATGAGGGGAATAGTGTTATTTTCTATGCAGGGTATTTTCAGACTGAGAGGCACCCCAGGAAGAGATATAGTGAGAGGAGAACAGGGACTGTCGCTCAGGATACTATGAAAGTGTAATTCATACCCTGTTTTCCTGAGTGCATTTTAAAAAATGGAGATGAAATATTTACAAATTTGAGCCAATGTAACAATATAATGCGTGTCTTTTCTGAAGAGTGCTTTTAACTTTGCATTGGAAAGCCATGCTAAATTCTGAATTTTATTGGCTTCTGCCAAGAGCCAAATAAAAGCAATGGGGAGGGCTCCACTGACTTCTTTCAATGCAAATTTAGCATTGGCCCTGCTTGGTGCTCCGTCTTTTTTCACTGATTTTCTGTTCTGACAGGCAGTTAATCTCATGCTCAGAAGATGGCAGTGTACGCATTTGGGAGTTACGAGAAAAACAGCAGCTTGCAGCTGACCCTGTACCAACAGGTGTGTGTCTTTTCTCAGAAAGGCAATCTTTTTCTCACATGAAAGACATAACCACAAGAATAATATTTCAGCGTGCTCAAAATAGGCATGTCTACATGACGCGTATGGTGATTGGAGTCTAGGATTCATGTGTTAATACTGTTTCAATATAGAATTGCCTGTTTACTTCTATTCAAGTCGGCTAGGATTTTATTGTTTTGAGGGGAAACTTATTTTTTGGTAATCTGACCACATCGCCTAATGAAGTAATTATTCATTTATATTGTTTATAATTGTGCCTGATACCCAAACAACTTGTATGGTCAGATGTCAAACTAAAGTGTTCTTTCAGACTTGAAGCATTAGCATTAACATTGAACTCCACTTATTGGAAAACACACTTTTGTGTTTATATCCTGTTTTCATGAACTCTTTCTTAACCCTCAGGTGTTTGGTTTGTAAAACAAAATCCTGGTTTGTTAGCAACCTTTGCGTAAGAAATCAGATGCTGGTACCTCTGGAGTGTCTTCTGGTTATCTGAAGTCATAGGGTATTGTTTTTGGACACTCATGTTCCTTTTGGTCAACCTTTGTTGATAGATCTGAGTTGTGACCTTGTTTTTGGACACTGCCATTCAGGCTGTTTCCTTCTCTTTCGTTCCTTGTCTATCTTTTTGTCATGTTAATATACTTTCACCGGTGAGTGGGGGAATAGAGAGAGATCAGCAACAAACCTGGTTAGCTAAGAAAGATGAAATGAAGCAACGTTATAAAAACCTTAGCATAGTGCCGGGTCCCATCCCTTCAGCCCTTGACTAAAATAAGTGCAGCCCTGGCCGGAGTGGCTTAGTTGTTTGGGTATCGTCCTATGCATGTAGGGGTTGCCCTTGGATTCCCTGTCAGGGCGCATGTCCAGGTTGTGGGCTTGATCCCCAATAGGTGTGTGCAGGAGGCAGCCAACTGATGTTTCTCTCCCTCTCTCTCTTTCTAAAATCAATAAAAACATTTTTAAAAAAGTAAAATAAGTGCAGAAGATCTTTGCATTTAAATTTTGCTTTTTTGATCTCATATTACTATCATAAGTAAAGAGCACAGTAGTTTTGAAAATGACGGAAATGACTGTGCTTTCTAGGCTTCTTTAACATGTGGGGGTTTGGAAGAGTGAACAAGCCAGCCGGCCAGCCTGTGAGAAAGCAGCAGGAAAATGCCACCTCCTGTTCGCTGGAGCTCACTGGAGATTTGATTGGACACTCGTCATCTGTAGAGGTATCATTTTTAATAGGCATATGCATGCAGGGAATCCCTGCTCTCGCACGTCACTGCTCTCCATTCAAATGGTATTGTAAAGACCTAAACTTTCTCTTCTCTGTGCATTTTTGCCGAATTGAAACATGGGATAGATTATAGTATATGCAGTTAGGACCCTTCTTTACAGAGATATGATTTGAGGAACCAAGGAATCGTTGCTCCTACATCAGCCATTTTCAACCTTTTTCATCTCATGGCAAACATAAACTAATTACTAAAAATCTGCGGCACACCAAAAAATATATTTTTTGCCTATCTGACAAAAAAAAAAAGTATTTTTATTCATTCACACCAGAAGGCTACTGTTGTGCTGGCTGTTGTCATTTTCTTTTTTGATAATCTAAGGGAAAACAGGTCAGTGCCCCTGATGAAATAGTCAGGTACTGCATGTTTTAAAAATGCTTGCAGCTCACTGGCTGAAAATCGCTGCTCTAAATAATGGGCTTAATCACCATTATTTATGCGATGAAGATGGCTGACAGGACACTGTGAATAATGCTGAATGTGTAACAGTAGTAAATAGAGGCTGAGCGGAGGGTTGTGG